CCAGCTCAGCCCACCAGGGGGCGGGGCTGGCTGGCATGTGGTGCTGGGGGATTGAACCGAGGTCCCCGTGCTTTGCTAAGCTTGTTCTAAGTAGGTGCTCCAGACCACTGAGCCATCTCACCAGCCCCTATAAAGTTCTTATTAACAACTTATTAAGAAATTTTCCATGAGACATATTTGGTAAAAATCTTTCCCATTTCTAGGAAATTTCTCTTCAGTTATCCTTCTATAATAGGAGAATCTAGAATCCTACTTCCTAGCAAACTAAATGAATAGAGCTCAGTAAAAACGGTTAAGAATAACCCAAAGAGGGGCTGGCCAGGAACTTGAACTTGTCAGGCAGGCACTTAGACCACTGAAGTATCTCCCCAGCCCAGCCTTTATTTTTATTTTTATTTTTTTTATCGGGAATTGAACTCAGGGCTTCGCACCTGCCAGGCAAGTGCTTGTCCCTGGCCCCACACAAAGCTATTGAGTACTTATAATATGACTAATCTAAATTGAGGTATACTGCTTCTCAAAACATATACTAGATACTGAAGATAGTACCAAAAAACCCCCAAAGAACGTAAATTATCTCAATAATTTTTAAGGGCCAGGTGTGATGGTACATGCCCTTAATCCCAGCACTCTGGGTGGCGGAGGCAGGAGGATCACTTGAATAAAGGAGTTTGAGGACAGCTGGGAAACAATGATGCCCCATTCTAAAAAGAAAAAAAAATTACCAAGGGAATTTAAATCACATGCCAATCTTCAGTCTTTCCCTTTTAATCCATTTTCTGTAAATGCAGCTTACGTTTTATGGGAATAATTCTCAACCGGCAACTCTGCTCCCCAGGAAACATTTGGCAATATTTGGAGATATTTTTGCTTGTCAAAAGTAGGGGTGTGCTACTGGCCTCTAGAGGGTTGAGGCTTGGGATGCTGACAAATGCTATGTAATGCACAAGCTGGTCTCCAATGCAAGGAATTATCTAACGTAATGTTTGTCGTACCTCTGTTGAAAAACCCTACCACAAAGAAAAAAAAAAAGACTTTTAAGTTTCCCTTGCCAAACTGCCACATGTTTTTGGACCTGAAACTTGGAAGGAAAGAATGCAGGCAGAAAATCTTAAAACTCATTTTATAAAATGGCTGATGTACTGCATGCAGCTCGGCAAATACTCAGGATAGAGAAATTAGGAAGATGGTGACAGAAGGTACTCACTGTAATTGGGTGAAGAACAGATTAAATGGAATTCTTACCCATTACCTTGTTAGTTACAAACAGATATTATGGAAGAAGGTAAACAAAGCAATTTTCACTACTTTTCATTTTTACTTTCTAATGGAGTTGGGATTTTTTTTCCTTTTCTTTCTTTTTTTTTTTGGTGGAACCAGGGATTGAACTCAAGTCCTTGCGCTTGCCAGACAAGTGCTGAACTATCTCCCTGGCCCCGGGATTTTTTTCTTGGTGGAGTTTTAAAATGAAAGGCAAGAAGGAAGATTTTTCTGAGTTTAAGATTTTTTTTTTTTTTTTTTTTTTTTTTACTGGGAATTGAACTGAGGAACTTGTGCTTGCCAGGCAGGCGCTATGCCATTGAGCTATATTCCTGGACATAGTTTAAGAAATGTTAAGTACCACAAAATAATGTGTCAGGATTATGTGGGAGTCAATCTGAAAGCTGATTGTAGTTTTGAATGGATAAAGTATAGCAAATATAGGGGGTTTTTTTGTTGTTTGTTTGTTTGTTTGTTTGTTTTTTGGGTGGAACTCAGGCCCTTGCGCTTGCCAGAGAAGCACTTATTCTACTGAGCCATCTCTCCGGCCCCACAAATATAGTTATTAACAACTCATTAAAAAAATTTCCATGAGACATATTTGGTAAAAATCTTTCCCATTTCTAGGAAGTTTCTCTTCAGTTATCCTTCTATAATAGGAGAATCTAGAATCCTACTTCCTAGCAAACTAAATGAATAGCGCTAAGTAAAAACAGTTAAGAATAACCCAAAGAGGGGCTGGCCAGCAAGCTTAGACAAAAGCGCAGGGACTATAGTTCGATCCCCAGCACCACATGCCACACCAGCCCTACCCCCAGGGCGGGCTGAGCTGGCCACAGAGACCAGACTGGTGGCACACACCTGTAATCTCAGGGCTGGGGAGGCTGGAAACAGGATTGCTACAAGTCCGAGCTGCACAGTGAGACCCTGTCCCAACTAAATACACTAACAATAATGATAATAATAATAACCCAAAGAACAAAGATAGTGGATCTGTAAATAAGACCAAATCTTGGGGCAATTTGCTTGGTCCTCCCCGTTCTGTTCCTCTCTTGGACAGAAGCTTTCTTTCCCCCAGTAAATGTATTTTGGTCTTTTTTTTTTTTTTTTTTTTTGTGTGTGTGTGTGTGTGTATTTTAGGGAAGGGTCTACAGGGTGTTCAGGGTCTCACTACTAGAAAGGACTCCTAGTGATCTGCCTGTTTATAGCCTCCCAAAAGCTGGGATTACGGGC